CATGCTGGGGCCGCGTCCCACATACGGCAACTAGAAGGATGTGCAGCTATGACAGACAACTATCTGCTGGGGCTTTGGGGGAAAAATAAAAAAAAAAAAAAAAAAAAAAATCTTTAAATTATACACTTATACTATAATATTTATAAAATTATTATAATTACTATTATAAAATTAAAACAATGGTTATTAATTATAGAAGAAAACTATATATAGATTGAATTATGTTGTATAATTCCTTACACCTTATCTTATCGTGAAGGTAGATTTAGCTGATTTTTGTCCCTACGCTGATAAATGTGTCAGTTTTCAACACTTGATATTTGATGCAGTTTGGCCTTTACCCCTTGCCAAGGAAAGATCCACTAAGGTTGAAAAGCCGAGAACCCACCACCCATACTATGGATTAGCTTGTAGTTACTAGATGAATAGGAAAGGTTACAATATATTTTTAAATAAAAAATATAGGTCAAACAATAATTATATCAAATTATCCTAAATCTATTAAAAATCAAATATGTGCATAGTAAAAAGAAAGAATGGAGCATGCATCATAATATTAATAGTAGATTTCACTGGATGCTGAGATTAAAGATGATTTTTATTGTACTTTGTGCATTTCTGAATATTACAGATTTTCTGCAGAGAACATGTGTTTTACAATTAGGAAAACAAGTTATTTTTAAACAAGCTGTGACTTGAGGCAAAGAACAGAGAGCTAACCACCTTAACTTTATTCTAGTGAGTCTGAAAGCCTGCTTTGTGGTCTATGGTGTCAATATCACTTGGAAAACCTGTTAAAAAGGCACATTCCTGGTCCCTGCCCTAGACCCCTCAGTGTAACTCTCAGGGGATGGGACCAAGAGATCGGCATTTTATTTATTTATTTATTTATTTATTTATTTACTTATTTATTTATTTATTTATTTATTTGTGAGGAAGACCCGCCCTGAGCTAACATCTATTGCCAATCTTCCTCCTTTTTTTTTTTTTTCCCCCCAAAGCCCCAGTAGATAGTTGTATGTCATAGCTGCACATCCTTCTAGTTGCTGTATGTGGGACACGGCCTCAGCATGGCCGGAGAAGCGGTGCGTCAGTGCGCACCCGGGATCCCAACCCGGGCCGCCAGCAGCGGAGCGTACGCACTTAACCGCTAAGCCACGGGGCTGGCCCGAGATCTGCATTTTAAAAGGTCCCCAATTCATTTTTATGCACATTAAAGTTTGGAAATGACTTCAGAGTCTAGATCTTTAGATCTTTCATTTAGTTGAAATTTGGGGCCTAAAATACAGTGAGTGTTCTGTGTCAGGCAGGAGCCTTTCCTGTTCTCATGTCTGCTGCTACTTTATCCCCTCGTCTCATTTGACTCTCCAACCTAGAACTCACTGCACACAGAGCCATATGGTATCATCAACTGGTATAAGATAATAAAATATTTTCAGGGACTAATTGGGTAATGAATTGTCTTGAGTAATTTAACATTCTGGCTAACGGTTTTCCTAAAAATTATATGTGGATTACTGGTTTTCAAAGAATTGGAACATAAGGCACTGTCCTTAAACACAACCTAAGAATTACTTAATATTAATTTAGGTATTAATTAATTAATTAAATTTAATTTAGATGTCCCCAAATAACACATGGGTGACCAGTGTGCTATTCTTACTTTGTGTACACAAGCTCAAGAGATTTTAGACTCGTCATCTTGGTAAATATGTGGGTAGCTGGTTTGTAGACTTCAGCTAATATAGAGCTGGTGTTGACGGCAGGGTCGCAAGCTGTTTTTCTGCCTCCACGTTGTTTACGTGTATAACAACCTCACAGGCAACGTGTCTCACTCGGTGCAGTGATTGCCAGCTTTGAGATAAGCTGTCTTTCAGCTGCAGTGCAAATAAATGCACCACTCCCTTGAGAATCACTGGGGCTCGGTATTGGACATCGACATATAAGAGCTTCTTTAGATACGCATATTTTAAAATGTCAAGTGTGAATTAAATCATTTTAGGGAATTAGCCACTTAAAGAAACTTAAGTACATTTTCGTAAAAAGTGAACACCCCCTCAATTATTTCTGTGTTTAAATATTGGATTTTCTTTTTTTATAATATTGTTTCTAATTCTAATCATATCACAGAGTTATTAAGAAAATGTGGAAAAGTGTAAAAATATTAATCGTGTAACATTTTAACAGAAATTGGGGCAATATCATATGCAGCTTGTATCTTTTTCAGTGAATGTTTTATCATGAGCATTTACTTATTAAATTTTCTTCAAAAACATTACTTTTAGAGGCTTCATAAAAGTTCATCATTGAGATATATATGATTCATGTGATCATCCATTTATTTTGAATGTTTAGTTTGTTGCTGCTAGTTTTCACTATTATAGGTAATATTGTGATGCAAGTCCTTGTATATACATCCCTGTTTACCCGGTTAGCTATTTCCTTATGATAAATTCAGAAAAGTGGATTTAAGCCACAGAATGGCTATGGCTCTGTAATACATGTTAAATACATGTTAAATTGCCATGTAGAAAGGATATTCCAGTTTATATTCACACTGGCAATGTCATATGGACATTTCTTTAAAGCTGTGTGTTTCACTGTTTGCTATGAACAAGATGACATTTTCAAGTGCCGGGAAGAATAATTCCTTCACTGATGTTTGGTTTTTTATGATGTTTGCAGCTAATTGCAGAGATGACATGACCTGTGTGAAAGAAGAGATCTTTGGACCAGTGATGTCCATTTTATCATTTGACACTGAAGCTGAGGTTCTGGAAAGAGCCAATGATACCACTTTTGGACTAGCAGCTGGTGTCTTCACCAGGTATGTGGGGAAGGACACCCCAAGCAGCTTTGAAGAAATGGGGCTGCAGGATCTGCTTGGATATTTAGTTTATCTGGTTCCCTCACTGGAGTTTGCCTCACTGCATTTTCTGTTTGCTTCAGTCAAGTCAGAAGATGCCAAAGTAGCATTTTCTAGTTAGCCCTGAATGGCCAGAGAACACTGCTATTGAGTTTAAATTGAAGTATAAACTTTATTGATGAAAAGTCTACCTTTTTTCATTCTTCATTGGATAACTATTTAAGATTCTAATCTATGTAGAGTATCGAGTTGTTGCCTATTACAAACATACCTGGCAAGGAATTTAGAAACCTGTAAGCATATAAATACTGGGTAGTATTCTTCAAAAACTTGATTGTTAGTGGCTTTATAGTAGTTCTTAGTTGGAATGCATTATAACACATGTAGGCCTCTTATCTATTGTTGTATATTTAGGGTGCTGTTTCCGATTTTAATTATTGTAAGTAATGTGTTTGTACATAAACTTTAACCACTATAATAAAAGCAGAAAGTGATTTGGGAGCGAAATTTCTTTGAAAATGATTGCAGATGGCTTGATTATTTATAAACTTGGATTAGTCTTTGGCTGTAGCAGGCAGTTTTCTAAGACTGCTTTACCCTTGGGATTATGCTGTTTCTTTGGTGATATACAGAGTTAAATTTTTTTGTAGTTTTGTGATCAGGAACCGGGGAAGGAAGACCCAAGCCTCCTTTAAGGACCTGATGTAGTAGCTTCTCAAAGATTGAGGAGCTGCTTTTTTTTTTTTTTAGTGGACTTTATTTTTCAGAGCAGTTTTAGGTTCACTGCAAAATCGAGGAGAAGGTGCAGAGATTTCCCATATCCCCCCTGCCCCTACCCATGCATAGCCTCCCCTACTATCAACATCCCCCACCAGAGTGGTACATTTGTTGCAACTGATGACCTACATTGACACATCGTAACCACCCAAAGTGTATAGTTTATATCAGGGCTCACTCTTGGTGTTGCACATGCTGTGGGTTTGGACAAATGTATGAAATGTATCCACCATTATAGTGTCTTACAGAGTGGTTTCACTGCCCTAAAAATCCTCTGTGGGGAGCTGCTTTTCAGATTTGAGGATTGAATGGGTTAAGTCTCCACTTTTGCTTTGCTTTACGACTGAAATACAGACAAGGGCCAGCACAAAGGAGGGTAACTCCCATACGCTGTTGCTGTTGTATTAAACAGCTTTGTTGGGATAATTCACATATCATACAATTCACCCATTTAAAGTGTACAATTCAGTGGTTTTTAGTATATTTACAGAGTTGTGCAGCTGGCAGCAAATCTAATTTTAGAACATTTTCATCATCTCAAGAACATTCACAGTCACTCCCCATTCTCTCCACCCCCAGTCCCTGGCAACCATTGATCTACCTTCTGTCTCTATAGATTTGCTTATTCTGAATATTTTATGTAAATGGAATCATACAGTATGTGACCTTTTGCAACTGGCTTCTTTCACTTAGCATAATGTTTTCAGGGTTCATTTATGTTGTAGTGTATCGGTACTTTACTCCTTTCTGTTACTGAGTAATATTTCATTGTATGAATAATACTACATTTCTGTCTGTTCACCTGTTGATAGACATTTGGGTTGTTTCTACTTTTTGGCTACACCTGTTGATAGACATTTGGATTGTTTCTACTTTTTGGCTATTATGAATACTGCTCTTGTGAGCGTTTGAGTGTAAGTCTTTATGTGGATATATGTTTCATTTCTGCTGGGTATATACCTTGGAGTGGAATTGCTGGATCTTATGGTAACTCTATGTTTTTTGTTTTTGTTTTTTTTTGTGAGGAAGATCTGCCCTGAGCTAACGTCCATGCCAATCCTCCTCTTTTTGCTGAGGAAGATTGGCCCTGGGCTAACATCCCGTGCCCATCTTCCTCAACTTTATATGAGACAGAGCATGGCTCGCCAAGTGGTGCGTTGGTGCGCGCCCGGGATCCGAACTGGCGAACCCTGGGCCCCAGAAGCGGAGAGCACGCACTTTACCGCTACGCCACCAGGCCAGTCCCAGTAACTTTGTGTTTAACTTTTTGAGGAACTGCTAAACTGTTTTCTAAAGTGGGAGCACCGTTTTCCATTCCCACCAGCAATATATGAGGGCTCCAGTTTTTCCACATCCTAGCCAGCACTCGTTATTGTCTGTCCTTTTGATTTTAGCCATCATAGGGCATGTGAAGTAGTGTCTCGTAGTTTTGATTTGCATTTCTGTGAGTTCTGTTTTCACTTTCTTGATAGTCTCATTTGCAGCACAAATTTTTTTAATTTTGATAAAGTCTATTCTGTTTTTTTCTTTTATCTGTTACTTTTGGTGTCATGTCTAAGAAGTCTTTGTCTAACCCAAGGTCATAAAGATTTATTCCTGTTTTCTTGGAAGAGTTTTATGGTTTTCACTCTGACATTTTAGGTCTGTGCTCTGCTTGAGTTAATTTTTGTATATGGTGTAAGAGAGGGATCTTCCTTTGTTCTTTTGCATGTGGATATTTAGTTGTTCTAGCACTATTTGTTGAAAAGACTATTTTCCCCCATTAAATTTTTTTGGCATCCTATTACTGCTACTTATTTTGTGGATGCTTATTTTGTAGGGTGAGATTGTAAAACTCAAATTCTTATCTATTTTGCCTGGATGGCACAAGATTTTGAAACACATTTTGAAGAAATAAGAATTTGGCAATATTTTGAGACCCTTAGAACTGGCAGTCTAACTTTTCCTGTTAAAGCAGTTGCAAAAGAAACTATGAATAACCAACACAGTTGTTTTCCTTCATAGGGACATCCAGCGTGCTCATAGAGTGGCGGCTGAGCTTCAGGCTGGAACGTGCTTCATTAACAACTATAATGTCAGCCCAGTGGAGTTGCCTTTTGGTGGATATAAGAAATCAGGTGAGGAGATGGGAATTGTCAAAGCAAACCCGGGTCTCTGGCGTTACTTGTCATAATTCAGTCCTTATAGACCAGGTTCCTAAACCTGTTTGTATATCAGAATCACCTGGGGAAATAATATAGGTTCGTGGTCCTCCCCAGGCTCACTGCATCAGTCTCTGGGGATGGAAGCCAAGCATCTTTTTTTTTTTCAAACGCTCTCCAGAAGGTTCTCATGTGTAGCCTGGCTTGTGAACTGCTGATATACACCTCAAAAAGGTTTATCTTGTGGGTCAGATTACTTTTTCTTCAGTCTGTGATCATTGTAAGCATAAAACCACTCCTAGAGGTTCCATACCAGGGTGCTCATCACCATCCACTGTGGAGTTTGTAGATTCAGTTGAGGTGAAGTGTCTCTAAAGTAATATCTCAGAAAGGGTATATTAATTTGTTTTCTCTATTATGCCAAATTAGTAAAAATCCTTTAATCTAACATCCAACAATCAATTATAGTCATTATTATTACACTAGATGGCATGTAGGAATGTTTTCCTGAAGCCACTGCCCATTCATTTCATTCGTTCAGTAATGACAATCAGACATGTTACCAAAATATGGCAAATTTATAAGTCTAGCATATTAGGAGGAGACTTGAAGCATCAGGAATATAGCCATTACTTTGAGGTTCTTTCTTTGGAGTTTGTTGCCTGTCAGTATTCACTAATTTCTCATACTCTTCTGTATGGAAATTGGTTTGGACCTTGTAGAGGCACCATTCTAAGAGTCAGACCTCTCTTCGCAAATATTTGTGACCATCACGGTGTTGGCAAACATATAAACCCTGATGAATGCTGATGAGATGGTGGGTGTTAATGTGGCAGTATTATCTGGTATATTGTTTAGTATTATCCTGGCATTCCCTAATCATACTCCACTGATCATCCTCGTCCCTGTTGGGTACCCAGAGGAGCTGTACACACAGGCCCAGATGCAGAGTGGGAACCAGGGCACTGTTCTATTAACACATAACCCTCAGTGCAGGGAATTTTTGTTGAGAATCTGCAGCTTAGGCCTCGGTGAGGCCTCCTCGGCCAGCTTCCCCTCCCTCAAATCTGAATCTTCAGGTCCGTGCTCACAGACATGGCTACACAGGATGAGAGAGAGACAGAAAGAAGACCAGACCTGTAGAGCAGTACCTGGCCTAATATGCCCAGCCAGCTCTGTGTCAGAGGACTTGGGAAGGAATAAAAGACAACGAGGCCTTGCCCTGACCTTTGTGCATGTCACCTTTTGAATGGTGCTCCTTAGGGGTATGCCTTTTTGGGGACTGGGCCTTGCCCTGAAGAGGCGGAGCCTACCTAACCCTGGGGCAGGGTGCACAAGAGAGGCCAAGCATGAGATGCTGTCCTTTCAACATGTGACTAGCATTTGGGCAGTGTCTGGGACTTGGAGTAATCTCAGGGACCTGCACAGTCCCTCCTCCGCGTGAGTGGCAGGGTGTGAGTAGCAGGCTGCTCTTACAGGTTTAGTGCAAGACAAGCTTAATAAGCCTATTATGTAGAGTTAAGTTTTAAGTTAACACCAACTTTCAAAGGCATCGGGTTGATTGTTGTAGAGACTGCTTTAAAGCTTGATAAGAAAATCTGGGGCCGGCGACATGGCTTAGCGGTTAAGTGCGCGTGCTCTGCTGCTGGCGGCCCGGGTTCGGATCCCGGGCGCGCACCGACGCACGGCTTGTCCGGCCATGCTGGGGCCGCGTCCCACATACAGCAACTAGAAGGATGTGCAGCTATGACATACAACTATCTACTGGGGCTTTGGGGGAAATAAATAAATAAAGAAAGAAAATTATAAAAGAAAGTCTGAACATGTTCAGACCTCAACCTAGAGTGGTAAATACCTGAAGTTAAGATTCATATTGCTAAGAAATGAGACCTGGATGTTTCCCTCTCCCTATCCCCAAGAGCCAGAGGGTCACTTTTCCCATTTCTAATTCCACAGATAATATATGCAATTGAGGCCTTTATCCCAAAACTTTTGGGTGCTGTGTTCTTCTCCAGCCCTGAGAAGCAAAGGCTGTCTTTGAAGATCATGGTGGTTTTTCAGACTATTGGCGGTGGTGGCTCATCCTGACCCCTTCTCTTCCTTTCAGGGTTTGGCAGAGAGAATGGCCGTGTCACAATCGAATATTACTCACAACTAAAGACTGTGTGCGTGGAGATGGGTGATGTGGAATCTGCTTTTTGAAAACGTGCAGTGGAGCCAGTCAACATGGCCAGGCTGTCGACTAATGAGAAGCAGCTCTCGACAGAGGCAGTGCCATTTAAAATCCGTGCCATTTTAAATCCAGAATTTTGGTCAGTCAGATTAAGAGAATGGTTCAGTGTTATTCTTCATCGCTCAATCATCTTCCTAATTGAAAATGTGCATAAGTGCCTTTTAGATACTAATCAAGAAAGTTGTGATTTTCCTCAAAGCAAATTTCTGTGAAATCTTTAAGAGCCAGTAACACATTTCTGGAGGACAGAGAGAGGGACCGGGATTATACTTCTTCCACAGATTTGACCCACTGACGACATTCATTCTCTAGCTTCCTTGAGAGAACTTATTCCTTTAGAGGGCCCTGGTGGAATCAGGAGAGATGATTTCTGCTCCCTGACATTTTTTAAGCTTTCTCCCCTTGTCATTCTATTGAGAAAGCCGACTGTTGGGATAGAGGGGATTAGATAGTGGACGGGGTCAGCTCTGTGTGAATGTTGACTTGTCAGAGTGAGCACTTGGTTTCCATCCAGTGCTGCGGGGGAGGAAGCCTGTCTCCAGTCCTTGAACCACAGCATGCTCTCTTGTGACAGAACAGTGACCTTTTAAATGTACACGTTATTTGTTGGCTACTGTAGTATACTGATGTTAAATAAATCACAGTTAATCCTTTCAGTTTGATGTTTTGAAACTAAACACATCTCAAGGTTATAGTAGGACACAGGATAGGGCTGAAGTTAAACATACAAGGCAGAGGACTTGACCTTCTTTGCAATAACTCCACAAGAGTGAGCTCTGGTTGCTGCCATGAACTTCTGATGGCGCATGTAAACGTTTAGGCTCCATGTTCTTGCTCACCCTATAAGCACCCTGTCCTTGAGGAGCTGTCAGACCACGGTGACTTTTCAGACTGTTGCTGTGCCCACACTCTGGCCCCTTCTCTTCCTTTCAGGGCAATGGTTTATATCAGTAGCCGTATTAGTCAAGGTTCTCCAGAGAAACAGAACCAATAGAATAGATAGAAAGATAGATAAATAGACAGACAGATAGATAGATGTGTCTAAGAAGAGATTGATTATAGGAATTGGCTCACGTGACTATGGAGGCTGAGAAGGCCCACAATCTGCCACCTGCACACTTGGAGACCACGGAAAGCTGGTAGTGTAATCTGGTCTGAGTCCGAAGGACTGAGAACCAGGGAGCCGGTGGTGTAAGTCTGAGTCCTAGGGCCCAAGAACTAGGAGTGCTGATGTCCCAGAGCAGGTGAAGATGGATGTCTCAGCTCAAGGAGAGAGTGAATTCACCCTTCCCCTGCCTTTTTGTTCTATTTGGTCCCTGAACCAATTGTATGATGCCCATCCGCATTGGGGAGGGCTGTCTGCTTTCCTCAATTCACCAATTCAAATGCTAATGACTTATGGAAACACCCTCACAGACACACCCAGAAATCATGTTTTACCAGCTATCTGGGCATCCCTTAGCCCAGTCAAGTTGACACATAAAATTAACCATCACAGAAGCTAATTTAGTAGTCAGCTATAAGGGTTGATTCTTGTTACTGGACCTACATCTATTTATGTATTATGTTGGGCAAATACTATAGTTTCAGATGATGAGAACAATTGAATCAACCTCTCTTGGTGTTTATTTGCAGAAGGCACATATATGATACTGAGCAAGGCCAACAGAATGTCTCACCCACGTCTAGGGGAGCCTCGTGTGACTTAAATGGTGGCAGCTATCTGGGAGAAGATGAGTTCCTGGCAATTCCGCTAAAGCGAAAACAGCAGGGGAAAGGGAACCAACATTTGAATACTCACTGTGTTCCTACTGCTACATCCTTTCTCATTCAGTACTCACACTAAGCATAAGGAGGATACTAGCCCTGGTTTTCAGATGCAGAAAGAGAGATGGAGAACTCTTGGTCGTAGTCAAGTCAGTCAGTTGAGGAGCAGCATTCCCACCTAGGTATGTGGGACTCTGAGTCTTGTGCTTTCTGCAATCCTTCCCTAGTTCCTGGAACTTAACTGAGTATTAGTTTCCTGTGACTGCTGTAACAATTTACCGCAAACTTAGTGACTTGAAAACAAGACATGTTTATTATCTTACAGTTCTGGAGGTCAGGAGTCCAAAATGGTTTCACTGAGCAGAAACCAAGGTGTTGGCAGGGCCACATGCCTGCCGGAGGCTCTAGGAGAGAATCCTTTCGCTTGCCTTTCCATCGTCTAGAGCGGCATTCCTTGGCTCACAGCCCCTTCCTCTATCTTTAAAGCCAATACCTTAGCATCTTCAAATCTCTCTCTGCTTCCACTGCCTTCTTTGTCTCTATGTAGTCAAGCCTCGCTTTCTTCCCCCCATAAGGACACTTGCGATTGTATTTAGGGCCCATCTGAATAGTCCATAATAATCTCTCATCTCAAGATCCTGAACGTTACTCATATCTGCAAAGTCTCTTTTTGCCAAATATAAGGTAACATTTATAGGTTCTGGGAATTAGGACATGGATATATTTGGGTGCAGCATTATTCGGCCTACCACACCCAGCGTGGTTCCAGGATGTTATCAGCTATTGTATTGCACACATTTACTTGAACAAAAACCTCATTTCTTAATGAAGCATCTTATAAGAGTAATAATATACTCTTATATTATCTGCAAAACACATTTAAGGAAACATTGACTTAACCAAGAGGCCAAGCCTTCCTCTGATTTGGGAGAAATTGTGTCATCTAGCTAAATTCTCCTGAAGTTGTCTTTTTTCCCTACTACTCTCTTGATTTACTTTTTAGGGTTAAGAAGCAGTAGGTACCATGTTCTGTCTCTCTCATCTAATCCTAGCTCCCAGAGGTAACTGCTGTTAACATTTGGGTACATATATTCCCTCAGATTTTCTTAATGGGAGTAACTGCTAATTAACCCTATATCCTGATGAGGCCCCATGTCAGGTTCAGCTCATATCCTTTTATATACATTTTAAGAGTTCTTTGGTTGACAGATTCCTGTGCTAAAGGTGTTGATTGAAATTTTTTTGGAATTGTATTAATGCAAGAAAGAAGAAAAAATGAAGTCTCACGTTGGCTCATTCCTTTGCAATAGCTCAGAATCCTGATCTCTGACTTGGTTTTTTACTGACCCCATAGAAGCAGTCTCATATTTGGGCAGGTCTTTTATGTAGAAAAGGAGCCACTGGGCTCCTTCTTTCCTCCCACGGCCCTTTATTTCTTGATAGATAGATCATAGATCATATTGCTGCCTAGGATCTTACAGATTGAAAGTTGGTTAAAGTTTGCTGACGCCATCCATCGAAGTCGTCCAATAGGAGCTTCCAGAGAAGTGGAAGCATCCCCGAGCCCTTGCCTGCTTTTCACCGTGGCAGAGACTCCACCCTAGCTTCTCTGAAATGCTTAGTTCTGAGTTTGACTTTCCTCTAAATAAAAATGATTCCTTGGTTTTTCTTATACCTAAAGACCTATCTTTGTCTTTCTTTTCAGAGTCTGAGAGGGGAAGTCAGCAAAGGAAGTGTAGGAGACCAAACCTTAGCAGTTAAATGATGCTGTGAAAAACTATCAAAAAATTAGATCAGCAGTGAGTGATCTTTTCAGAGTAAATCAGAATTCATCACGCTCCTGCTGTAGCCCTACTGTGGCTTTTAATTACAGGTAGACTAAAATCTGAGCTCCTTACTGTGACCATCAGTGTTCTCTCAGTTCTTCTCTTACTTCCCTGTTCACCCGTTCCTTACTCTGCCAGGCTTGTTCTTGCCTCAAGAACCTCACCCTTGGTGTCCCCTCTTCCGCTGGGAGCACGTTTTCCCCACATCTTCACCGTGTAGGCCTCTTAAAGCCGAAAGCTAAAAATTTACCTCCTGAAAGCTAGAGTGGCCACACACACCCCTCATCCCACTACTCTATTTTATTTACTTCAAACCATTAATCGCTATTTGAAATTGTTTACATGCTTATTAAATCTTTTCCAACTAGAATATAAACTCTAAAAGCCAGAACAGTCATGCCACTGGGCTCAGAGCGAGTACTCCCTGTTCTGGAAGGGAACGGGTTAGAGGGCGGGGTGACAGCCCTGCTCCCCAGTGTGGCCCAGGACCAGCCCCATCGCTTGTCAGACGTGCAGAATCTCAGCTCCCACCTCAGACCTATGAATCAGAACCTGCAGTTTAACAAGATCCCCAAGTGATTCTTATGCAAAATACTTTGCCAAACTGCTTTTAGAGCAATTGTTCTCAACTGTGGCCGCACATGAGAATTACCCAGAGAGTGGGGCTGGCCCGGTGGTGCAAGCGATTAAGTGCGCGCGCTCTGCTGCGGCGGCCCGGGGTTCGCTGGTTCGGATCCCGGGCGCGCACCGACGCACTGCCTTGGCAGGCCATGCTGTGGCGGCGTCCCATATAAAGTGGAGGAAGATGGGCACGGATGTTAGCCCAGGGCCGTCTTCCTCGGCAAAAAAAGAGGAGGATTGGCAGATGTTAGCACAGGGCTGATCTCCTCACAAAAAAAAAAAAAAAAAAGAATTACCCAGAGAGCTTTAAAAATCTGAGCTTCTAATTTAGTTGATGTGGGGGGTGGCCTGGCCTTCTGGATTCTTAAAAGGTCCCACTTGGGTGAACTTAAAAGGCTGCTGAGGCTGAGAACCACTGGTTTAGAGATGTGCTTTCCAAGTACAGTAGCCACTAGCCACAGGTAGCTACGTAAATGTACATTAAATAAAAATTCCACTCGTTAGCTGCTCTAGCCACATTCCAATTACTCCATGCCACACATGGGGAGTGGTTACTATATTGGACAATAGAGATGTAGAATATTTCCATCACGTCAGAAAGTCCTCTTGGACAATGCTGCTTAAGAGGGAAGGAACTGAGAGACTGCAGTTTCTGTTGGGTTAGGAGAGCATCTTTGGAGGCAAGTGCTATCAGGGAGGAAAAGGGAAGCGGGGCAGATTCGGGGGTCCTGAGAACATAAGAAGGTAACCTGGTTGCTGACCTTTGATGAATGAAGTGTCACCAGCAGGCGGCTCCCGCGCTGCGTACCACACCGTGTGCTGGAACCTGAGCTGGCACTTGGCCACGGGAGCGTGGTGCTGCTCCTGGGTGTGCACTGTCATTGATCCTCAAGAACTTTATCCAGTAAGTGTTATCACTGTCCCCAACTTACAGCTGGGCAAGCTGAGGCTTAGGGAGGGGAGTAAACTTGCCCAGGGCACGCAACGAC